GCCCAGGGAGAGGACACCTGCCCCCGCCGGGAGCCCCAGCTCGCAGCACGGAAAGGCACCTCGGTTTCCTTTCCAGGAATCCACTGGCTTTGATATTTTTCCAGACCATTAACATCAGTTTCCACTCTCTGCTGCCCCCAGAGAGCTGGATTAGAAACCTGTGTGAACGGCAATCGTGCTGCAGTGCGTGCAGGAGCAGCCCAGCCTCCTGCAGACCCAGCCCGGCCCAGCTCGCCCTGGCCGGGCTGCCCCAGGCTGAGACCCTCTGCCCCCTCCCCACAGCCCTGGGCTTCCTGCTGGGAACGCTCACCTGTGCGACCCAGCAGCAGGAACCTGGACTGCAGCCTCTGCTCACACGTTTCCCTCTCCAAGCTCTCAGACCACAGTTTGCTCTGACCTTTCACAGAAAGTGTCTTAAAGAGGGCGATAAATATTTAAATATCATAAAAAACTATTTCTATATAAATGTAATAAATGCTCATTTAAGTAAATATTTGCCTCCCTAAGGTAATAAATACTGGTGTGTGACTCCAAAATAAACAAGGCAGAGCTGTGCAGAAACTGGCACCTGTAAGAGCTGCAGAGGGAAACCTCCTCCTTCATGGCACGCTGGCACACACCGCTGCGCTGGCACCGGCCGCGCTTCCCTTCCCTGCTCAGCCCAGCTTCTCACAGGAAAATACTTCACACAAGTAACTTGAGATCTAGCAATAAACTGTTTAAAGACCACAAAACAGTACCTTTAAGGTAGGAAATACATGCAAAGGCATTTCAGCATCAAGTGACTGCTGGGAACCCATGGCTCCTCAGCCAAACAAACAGCAGGTGCTGCGGTCTGGGTCACAGCGCGGGCGCTCCTTTATCCGAACATAAAGTGTCTTATGTTTTTTGGGATCTGACATCTAAGCTCCAACCCAGAGGACGTGGCTTTTCTCCTCTTAAAGGGAATGAAAACCTTCACCTGCAGCTCAGCAAGGTCTTGAACTGAGCTGAGAATGCTCTGGGTGGTGAGAGACGCTGCGCTTCTGGATCCTGTTTTATTTCTAAGGATTAACATGACGTGAGCGTGGATGCCCAGACTTATGGATGACATATTAGTACGTCCAGCTAACACCATTTCTTAAGGTACTTGCACAAATATTTTGACTGTTTGGGGCTGACAGCTGGCAATGTTATTTGAAAATACTACCAAAAAACATATATCAAAGTATGTTCTGCTTTTGTTCTACTGCTTTCCCAGCACAGTTTAAGTGTTCAAAAGATGAACCTCGGTCCTACCCAAGGGGAACTTATTATATTGTTATCTCCAAATTTATGCCAGAATAAATATCCTTGGAAAGGTTCATATGACTGAAGTTGGGTTTCTGGCTATACAGCCAGCTGCAGCAGGATCTGGAAGTTCATACAATTGTTTCCTGCACAAAACTGGTGTAAAGAGGCTTTACCTGCTTTATGCACACATTCTGATGGGGTTGTACAGACTGACGGACTCCACACAATACACAACAATTTCTATCCTAATCAGAGAACAGGCCAAGAGACGGGCTGAGATTGTTCTGGAGTCAAATTACACAAATTTGTCTGCTGCTGCCCCAAAACACATCTATCTGTAATACAGTGCTGAAGATGGCTACAGGGAAATTTCAGGGGGGAAAAAAGACAACCTTGTTCAGCAGAATACACATATCACTGGCAGCAAGGGCTGGAACCCACTGCTTGGTAACTTCAGAGTGCTGCCGTGGTGTTAGAGCCCATCCAATTAAGTGAGGCCTGCAGAATATTTACACTCCTACATCTCTTGGTTCCTGAAAGGGTTAAAGCTTATTATTAGCATATAATTTACAGGTCCCTTCTCCCAGGAAAGAAATAATGCACGGTAAATGCCACATTCGTTTTAATAATACATGTTACAGTCTGTGCCCAACATCTGCACAAAGGTAAAGCAGACAGATTTTTTTGACATGTCCCACTCTGCCATTGAAACACAGGCTTTTTGTTTTGTAAGTGATGGAAGGTTTAATCAAGAAAGCAGGCAATTCATCAATCGAAACAAGGCTGCTCACACTGCCCTGACAGCACACACATGGTTTTATACAGAAGAAACCTGGCCACCTGTCAGCAGCACCTTTTACATCAGGATATACAAATACACTGGGTGATCAATCCTCCAGCTCTTCCCATTCATTTCTTCATTTTCTTATTGTATTTTTCTTTATGCTAGATGTTGCCCTCATTCTCTGCAGGAATAGATGGGAGACAAGGCAGGCTATGGCTGTTTATACACTATCATAAAAATTTATATACCCTTAGAGTGACTTATTTCCCTTCTATTTGAGTACCATTATTATAAATAATTTTTCACTTCATTGAGGAATTTTCCCTGTATGTTATTATCTGTGCCTGCCTGCGAGGGCTGCCTCTCCCTCACTGTGCTTGTGCCTCTGATAAGCCAAAGCAATATGCTGGCAGAAGATGCTCAAGTCTGAAATGAAGGCAGTATATAGTCACAACAACATCTTAATTAAACTGAAGGCCATGAGGAAAGACTGTGCTGTGAAATACTGAGCCATGTCTGTCAACAGGTCTGTCTGGAGCGAGGCATTCTTCTCCAGCAGCTGCCTGCCCCAGCATGCACATTAAACCTGGCAGCTCCTCAGCATCCTGCCCCCAGCAGCACCCACAGACACTCTGCACAGCAGCTTAGAGCTAATTCTGCCTTTTGGTCTGGAGCATGGCATGGGGTGGGACGAGGGAGGCTGCTGGGCAAGAGGATGATGCCAGCAGTGCCAGTGCTGCACTACCATGGCTCGTGACAGGCTCTGGGCACTGATTCCCTATCTGCATCCTGCCAGGAACTCACCTAGTTGGTGCCAAGAGAAGTCTCCTTAACTTTCAGGTCACCCAGTGTGTCATGGCCAAGACTGGCAATGACAAAAGACTGGTTAAAAATTGTAATTACTGCTTTCAGGACCATTTTTTCATTGACTCCAGTTCTGTGCAAACAAAAACCGCATTACACAGCCCAAGGGGTAATGGGCAGTTCCAGTGAGGATACAGTCATTCTGCCAAAATATATTTGAGATACAAAGTAGGATCGACAGCCAAAATTCATTTTATCTTCCCCAAACATGCTGAACCACAGCTGGAAGTGTTGTTTCCATCAAATATTGAGAAAACCTTGGCTGTCTATAGAGAGCAAAGAGAGACCACCCTGCAGCTCTTCATCCCACCCCCATGACAGCCCTCCCTTCCCAAGCAGCTCCTCCTGTGCCCACGGCACACTGAGGCCATGCTGAAACTGGAAGACTGCTCACAACGGCTTTTGTCTCCCTCAGCAGCGCCAAGAACCCCTCTTGTGACCTGGGAGCCAAGAGAGGGAGCCCACAGCCCGTGCACAGCTCCGTGTGTGCTGGAGGCTCAGCTCTCCCCACCCAGCATCCCGCACGGGGAGCTGGCAGCAGCCCAGGCGCGGCAGCCTGCTCCTAAATCTCCTGTTGCCATGGCACTGCAGCAGCACTGCAGATAGCCCAGACCTGCTGCACACGACACCGACGGAACAGGAAACTTGGGAATGGCTCCCAGAGCGCGTCTGGGGGCTAATCCACCTCGGCACGGCCCGAGCACACAAAGAGAGCTGTCGCGGCACCTCACCGCAGCTGCTGACAAGGCAGCCGTGGGCAGGAGCTGTGCACAAAAATCCTGTCAGTGCACAGGATGTGTCATATGACAAGACCCTTTCTCTGGAAAGAACTCACAGCTGTAATAGCCATTACAACACATGCACAACTCATAACCGTGTTTCTGGAGGAGAATGTGCAATTGGAGGAAAAATAAAGAGTTATATACCTGAAAATGTGCTCAAGCAAACATGAAGAACTAATGCCCTGTCCAGTTCTACAAGGCCTTGTTTTGTGCTTTGCCTGTAAGGATCTGGTAAAGTGCTCAGGCTCTCTGTAAAGCAGGCACCTCCTGAGGCTGCAGCAGGAGCAGGGGCCAGCACATCCTGCAGCAAGGGCAGTGCCACCAACACCCACAGAGCTGCTGCAGTTGGTGCTTTTGGTGCTTCCCCAGGAGAGAAAGCACAGCTTCCCACCCCCATGCAGAACTGTCTCGTGTGAACACAGGAATACACTTCCCTTACATTTCCAAATGTATTAGGGCAGGAGAGTAACAAGAAAAACGAGGGCTGACAAGGATTATGCAATTGTTACATTCTATCTCTTTGGGAACCTGAAGCTGCAGTTTCAGGCAGAGATTACCTTTTAAATAACCCTTTGATTATGGTACATGAATTAATGCCATGTTCCCATGTTACAAGTGTCACTCACTATTAATAGGAGGAACCTGTGAATGGTACATTTTTGCCATCTTCTCTTCCCTGATTATGCACAAGCAGTTTCAGCTGCACAACCCACTGAACCAACTGCTGGATTTCCTAACTGTCCTAAAATCTCCTGCAGCCAGATGATGACTAGACTTTCATTAGGCTTTGACAGAGTCAGGTTTAAATCCACTATCTTTTTCCTCCTGCAAAAACAACGTAACAGAGCAAAACTTGTGCTAAGTGTGATTCCACCACGCCTATGCCAATATTTGTTCAGGTGTAACAGTACTACAAAAAACCCCCTCCAAGAGCAGTTGTGGCCCAGCAGGGGCGAGTGAGGCGCCGAGCAGGGCAGGTGGCACTGCAGCTCACCTGGGATGGTGAGCAGGGCACGTGGCACTGCAGCTCACCTGGGATGGTGAGCAGGGCACGTGGCACTGCAGCTCACCTGGGATGGTGAGCAGGGCACGTGGCACTGCAGCTCACCTGGGATGGTGAGCAGGGCAGGTGGCACTGCAGCTCACCTGGGATGACGAGCAGGGCACGTGGCACTGCAGCTCACCTGGGATGGTGAGCAGGGCAGGTAGCACTGCAGCTCACCTGGGATGGTGAGCAGGGCACGTGGCACTGCAGCTCACCTGGGATGACGTACAGGGCAGTGTGGCATGCAGCTCACCTGAGATGGCGTACAGGTTGGAGTGCTGGTGCTCCAGGTCCAGGCGGGTGCTGTGACTCTTGCCCCGAAAGCTGGCTGGCAGCGTCAGTGAGATATGCCTGAGGGAAAGGGAGGACACAGCAAAAGTTACTACAGAGCACAAGATGCTGCTCCTGCCAGCTCACTCCAGCCGGGTTAAGCAGCAAACATCAGTTTTAATATTGCTTCAAAACCATCTACCAGCTGCTCAGTGTCAGCCCCCTCCAGCCCTCGGAGCCCTGGGCTCGGCCAACAACCACGGAGTGCAGCAGGGGCCGTCCAGCCCAGCAGGGCCTCCAGCCCCAGGGGCTGCACAAGCAGAGCCCACCAAGAGCCAGCACGGCTCTGCCCCTTCAGCTCAAACCTGCTTCTTCCAATGCAGAGCCCCAGCCTGTGAGAATTCTAATAAAATGTTATTGTTGATCTTCTGCACCGCATTGCCACACGTGAAAAAGACAGCTCCCCTTCACGGAGGGGCTCAGGGCAGCACGAGGCAGAGGGAGCAGCTCCTGAGCCCGGGCACACACCCAGCACCACCCTCCTGCCAGGAGAACCAGGCAGCCTTTGTGTCCCCCTGAATGCCCCCTGAGTGAGACAGGGCACTCTCCAGTAGTGCACCAAACCCATGTCCTCAGCCAGCAAATTTTATCTACCACACCAATCATCTGGAAGTTATCTGCCTTCAAAAACAGGACATGTTTTGGGAAGAACAATGTATTTTTAGCCCTTGATGCAGATGATGGTGAACAGCACAGATAAAATAAGAAAAAGCAAACATTAGTCTGAGTTTGCTTGTGCTTTTCAAAGCTATTTTTAACCAAAAAAAGATGGTGTGAAAATGTATTTGAATTTGGCTATCAGTTTGCTGTTTAAAACACAATCCACATGAGAGTCTCTGGAGCAGAGGCATGGTTGTTATGAACACACTTTAAAACAGGAGACCACTGCCTGTGGGCATGACACACTTCTCGTTTGATTTTTAATGGAAGTATTCAAAAATATTTTCCAAGGCACCAAAGGCAGACAGTAGAAAGACTGAATTTCTCTGCCTCTATGAGGAACTGCCTTCTTCTCAGCAGAGACAGCCAGAGAGATGTCTCCAAGAAGAACATTAGCTGCACAAGACAGGGCAATGAGTGCTGGATGGAAATCAGCTCTCCCCTTTCCTCTTTCTTTTTATAAAAGATGACATTGTAGGGAGGAATGGAAAACAAAGCCTAATTTATTTTAAAGTAATGTAAACTTTGGCCAGGATCAATATAGCTTATACCTACAAACTTGATTGCATAATGCATTTTCCTTATGTGTTGTGAGAGCCAAATTATTTTGCATTGTAGAAGACAAAAAAAAAGAGGCTGCCATTGAAAAGCAAGAAAATCCCAATTATGAAGTCCCCAAGTTCCTAAACACATATCGTGAAAGTATGTGCAGTTCTGTGGCATATGGCAAATCAATTACTAGTTTAAATTTTAAAACAAAAACATGGTAAATGTGTTGCACAAATAATCAAGAACAACGGTTTGGTTTAGATTACAGCGGCCACTAGAGTTTTGAATACAATTAATCATCATTCCAGGCACCAGGAAGCCATATTGACACTTATTCCTAATTTGAATATTTAATTAGGGTGAAGTTCTTCATCAAATTATCACAGAACTGGGAGGAAAGCCTAAAAGATTTAAACAATTACTACTTTAACCCTTACCCAACTGCTCACCTGTGAGCACAGCAATCTCTTCCTGTTCTGCAAAGCTGGAATACGATCAGGCAATGTGACAAGACATAAAATGCTCTACAAATACCCTGGGAAGGGGGAACAGACACCCAGCACCCCAAAGGGCCTCTCAGGCTGGCACAGGCTTGTGCCTCTGGCTGCTTGTGCCCCTTGGCCTTTGCCAGGGCAAAGCTTTTGGGCTACATCTCTATTTCAGCATCAAGGGTGGCTCCTCCCAGGGCTTTTTTGGTTTGGGGCTTGTTGGTTTGGTTATTTTTAATTGAAGAGCCTGTCCAGAACCTTCTACCAGGCTCCTGCTGCCCACGGCTGACCTGGCACAGCCACGTGCTCCTGCCAGGGAGGTTTCCCAGCCCCGGCCCTGCAGCAGGAGCTCCTGGGATGGGGCTGGAGCCCAGTGCTGCTGCAGACCTGCTGCAGCTCCAGCACCCATGGGCATCCTCCCTCTGCACAGCCCTGCCTCCGATGGCTCCAGCGCCCCTTTGTGTGCTGTATTCATCCATATACGAAAATCTCTTTTAATGAGGAGTGATATACTTATGAACTCTCTAGAGTCATAATTAGAGCAAACTAATTGAAGTTGTGTTTTGACACACTTTCCAAATTCACGGGTACTGCATGACATATTCACAGCACTACTGCTGCACACCGTGGTGACAGCAAAATCATTAGGCTAATAACACTTATTTGCATTCTGATCATGCCAGCAGCGGCCGTTAAATGCTGCCTCAACCAGCACTCGTTTACTCAGGAAGTTTCCACTGAAAGATATTAACAGTAATTATTAGTACTTTAGTGGAGCTCTGGTGTTAAGGAACGGCACCTCACAAAGACTATCCCCATGCCAATTGTCTGCCTTTGGAAGTGTCAGAAGCAGCTTTCCTCCTCCCCAAGGACAAGCAGTCTGGCACAGCAGGAGGACAGAGGGTCCTGGCAAGGCCAGGCCAGGCTCCAGCCTTCCCCCCACAGCTGGAGTCAAACCCTGCTGCTCCAGCACTGCTCCAACACCAAACGTACTTCTCCCCAGCATACGATAATTTCAAGACAATTTAGAGCAAGTTTAATCACCCTCTTCACTTCAGTTGCTCTTTTATTCAGCAAATCCACAGAACAAGTCAGCATGTGATGAGGAGATCCTTCACGTGCAGGCCAAGGGGATTTGAGGTCTGTGCACATTATGGCCACTTTTTGAACATTTTTGGAGAGAAACTCACATAAAACAGGCCCAGGAATGCCTGACAGTTCCAAACCTGTTATTAAGAACTGTCTGCAGGAAGGTGATGAACTGCTTTTGAAGTGAGGGGGCAAGTACTCATAAAACAGAACAGAGGATCACAAGGGGAAGTGCCAGATATCAAAGGATGCTTCGTAATTCATATAAAAATATCAACAATGTACAGCAAAAGTCCAATGGTAAGTTGGGATTTGGACCCAGCAAAAAAAAAAAAAAAAGCCAAAAAAACCAACCTTACTCTTCATAAACAATGATCATGCAAAGATCATTCCTCATGAAAAATGGAACAATTAAATTTCAAGCTGTAGAAAGCTGAAAACACACCTAAAATGAGTTAATATCAGGCTGCAGCTCTCAAGAAATGTAATCCAACATGGAAGCTTTGCTTAGGGAGACTGGAAAAGGCACATTTCTGAGAAAGAAGCTGCTGGGGCTGCATGAACCAGAGGACTTGGCAAACCCCCTCTGGCAGGAGGCATCCCCAGGCAGGCACTGCCACAGCAGCTACCTGTGGCTCCAGCAGTGGCTACATCCCAGCTACAGCATTTCTTCACAGCCCTTAACTTTGACTGTGCTGGGGCACTGAGATGCCAGAACACCTACCTCATACTCCAAAGAACTGCAATGAAAACCTAAACTGCGAGGCAAGAATCACCTCGGGTAATGGACTTCATTCCAGACAATCTATTCTCATCGTGTAAACCAAATATTTAAATACTTTTAAAAACCTTCCTGACCCTTTCCCTAAAACAAGCAACATATGGGCTTTGCAAGCATTTCATCTCATTCCAAGCTACTAAAATATCCTGTTTCCTAAGAGTCAATGAGGACTGGGGGTGCCAGATTCAGGTTTTATAAAAGCCCAATGGCAGGAGAGAATGAAAAAGAGAGTGAGCGATTCTTTCCACATTCAGATCTCCCCACTCAGCTTTCCCAGCTGCATGAAGGGAGGAGGGCAGTCGCAGCCCACGCACTGGGCCCAGGGGTGCCTGGCAGCCCCCTCCCCAGGTGCCTGCACCCAGGGGATGCTGAGCCCCCTCCCACAGGAGCAGCGCTGCCTGCACGCACAGCCCCGCTGCTGCTCTCGAGGGCAAGTGATCTGCTGGACCAGCAGCCCAAAATGAAAGGCCTAATGCAGAATGAAGCTCCTGCAGCTTCCTCTGCATGGGGATTAATTCAGATCAGAGGACTTGAGTAACTAGGACAGAGCAGCTGCCAAACAATAGAAAAAAAAAACCCAACAAGTTTAATTTACGCCGCTTGGAAGTCTGAGCTGCAGCCCATTAAATCCTTCCAGGCAGAGGCTGCATCAAAGAGCTGAGCCCTGGCACTGCAAGCATGAAGTGCTTATGAAGTGGCTGTCTCAGCTGAGCAGCGCCGTGTCTCGGGAGGCTGCGGCGGCAAGCGCGCCGCTCCCACATCCTTCACGAGCTGCTCTCCAGAGTCAGGAGTTTTCACATAATGAAGCAGTAGGGAAAAATTGCCAAACAGCAGAAATACTCCAGAAAGATAAATTACACGTGGTGTAAGCTTCCTGGGTTAGGATTTTAAATTCTGTCCAATTAATCAGCACAGCAGCCCAGGCTCCCGGGCCAGATGCGAAGCCCCTCTCAGGGACCGGCCCCTTGCTGGGGACACTGGGGGCTGCTGCCCGGGCAGACCCCCGCCCTGCAGTGCTGCAGGGACATCCACGCCTCCCCTGCAAAACCTGCTAAACAAATATTCCACATAAAGACTCATTTGGGAAGAGCACATTGTCAGCACTTTGCCAGTAATAAATAATGACAGTCCAAACACTTTACTAAAAGCAATAAACTCAAGAAGTGTTTCGGAAAATGGTGAAAGTGATTGATTTAAAGGAAATATCTGAACACAACCACATGCATTTCAGGGTGAAAGCACAGATTACAAATCAGCAGTGGCAGAGATCATATTAAATAGCAGACAACACACAAGTTTTAGGAAAAAAAAGCTCAGTTTCCCTGCAGGGCTTATTTAACAACCCAGAGCACAGCTTCTCCAAATGGATACCTCCGGTTTGGACTTAACAGCCCTCTGCTATGCCCCAAAGAAAACATGCCTCCAGAAATACTGCTATAGCAGGAAGAGGACTC